TTGTCTGCTTTGCTTCTGCTTTTGCTTTTGTTTAGGAACTGAAAATGTATTTTCTGCATTCAATTGTAAAGCTTTCGCAGCACCAGTGCTCAGTTCTGTCCCTTTAGAGGAGAAAAAGCTTGTGTTTATAATAAAAACTAGACGTTGTAGCTAGATATATATATATATATACACACACACATTTGCCCATGTTAAGAAGGACAAGGTTGAGTATGGTGGGGTTGGAATGGTGGTCAGAGCAGGGGAGTTAGGGGTAGTGATAGGGGTAAGGTAGTTGGTGACAAGGTGGAAGCGTTTAGCCATGGTCATGGAGGAGAGGTGTGCAGGCACGGTGGTGGAGGGCTCAGGTCGGTGGTGACAAGGTGGAAGCGTTTAGCCATGGTCATGGAGGAGAGGTGTGCAGGCACGGTGGTGGAGGGCTCAGGTCAGTGGTGACAAGGGGGAAGCGTTTAGGCATGGTCATGGAGGAGAGGTGTGCACGCACGGTGATGGAGGGCTCAGGTCAGTGGTGACAAGGGGGAAGCGTTTAGGCATGGTCATGGAGGAGAGGTGTGCAGGCACATTGGTGGTGGGGTCAATTCGGTGGTGACAAAGGGGGAAGCAACCACCCTAACAGGGGAGATAGCATGGTGGCAGGCACAGTGGTGAGAATGAGGGGTGATGGGGGTGAGGTCGGAGATGACAAGGGGGAAGCATTGAAGCATGGTCATGGCGGAGTCAGTGTGCAGGTACAGTGGTGGGGACGGGGGATGAGGATCAAGCACAGAGGTGCGGTGACAAGGAGGAGGTCGGAGGTGACAAGGAGGAAGCATTTAGGCATGGTCATGGAGGAGGCAGGTGCAGGCACAGTGGTGGGGACGGGGGATGAGGATTAAGCACAGAGGTGCGGTGGTGGGGGGAATGAGGGGCAAGTACAGAGGGGCGGTGGTGGGGGGAAGGGGGGGCAAGGTGGGGGAATGAGGGGCAAGCACAGAGGTGCGGTGGTGGGGGGAATGAGGGGCAAGCACAGAGGTGCGGTGGTGGGGGGAATGAGGGGCAAGTACAGAGGTGCGGTGGTGGGGGGAATGAGGGGCAAGTACAGAGGTGCGGTGGTGGGGGGAATGAGGGGCAAGCACAGAGGTGCGGTGATGAAAGCGCAGGGGAAGCCAGGCGCTATGGTTGGAGCAAAGGGTTGCATGCATAGGCACTGTGGTGAGTTTCAGTGGGGGAACATAGGAGGTCAGACGCCATGGTTCCAGGTTTGCAGCAGAGGGAGTAGGCACAAGTATGAAGGTAGGAGAAGGGTGCAGGCAGGGAAATATGGGAGTGCGTTGGCAGCATGAGAGCAGGGGGCAGTAGGCATGCAAGCACAGTGGGGAAGGGTTCGGGCAAGCATAATGATGAATGGTGGTGGGGGGGCACCTAATATCACTGATCGACCCAACGATCAATGATCCCCTTTTGCAATGTCATATTCCAGCGATGCTGTTCAAACCCAAACATCTCTACCCATGTGACCAGAGAAGCTTCCGGGAATGAACTGACCCCCCAAATCAATGGAAGGTCAGTAGCACGTTCTGCATAGCAGTCTATGTGGTTGTGTCAGGTGGGCCGTAGACGATTTGAGATGGTCCCGTAGATGGACAGTGAAGGCTTGCAGCCCTGGATGCAACTGTGACTGCGGCATTGGCCATCAGATCAGGGTAAGTATGCATGGGTGGAGGAGGGGGCGGGGAAAGGCGAAATGTTTGTTTTATAGGAGAACTATGAGGTGAGTGAAAATCACTCATCCTCATAGTTCTAGCCAACCTGTGACCATGAAGCTGTCACAGATCGGGAAGTGAGGGAACACATACCGGCGCTCGCTCACTTCTCAATCCTGTCCCTGCAGAGAGAGGTGACTGTCACTCACTGCTCCCTGCAGGGATTTCCCCGCTCTGATCCTCCAGCGCTGACTGGCGGAACGGACGGGGGAGGGGGCGGCTACAGATGGCTCTGCCTCTAGATAGTCAGAGCCAGCTGTCACTCACGCAGCTGGGTGGCTCCAGACTGTAATGCTGGGATCCGGCTGCGGCGTCTCAGTATACCGCGAGCTTTGGGCGACGGGAGGACGCTAGTTTGTGTCCTCCTGTTACCCTTAGGAGAACTATGGGGAAAAACACTGACCCCATAGTTCTCCTTTTAAAGTGCACATGAATATAAATATAGACGTAATATAGATAAATATAGATGGGATTTTTGGTTCAGTATTATGTGTTTTTAATACTTTTTTCCATCTGTTGGTTACTTTACGATATTCTTCTTTTTTGTTTTTTTTGGTGCAGCGTCAATGCAAAAATCAAAGCCATCGAGGCCAAGCTAAAAATGATGTCGGAAAACCCCGACAGCGAGTTACCCGGCCAGTCGGCGCACTCCTACTTCAAGGCGTCGGAGAAGAAGAGGAGCATCCCGTACTCTCGAATTTCCTGGAAGTCTAAAAGATGACATCACCGCCTCCTGGCGGATTTCTGAGGCTAGACCGAGCGCGCACACACTCTATAGTAATCATGCGGACCTCCCGCTACGGTCTCCACAACACAGACTTCAGTTCTCTATGGAGCGAGGCTAAAACTACTCTGCGACATACGTTTTATTCTGTCCGTTCTTGTACGTGGGCATGAGTGTTGGTATGTAGGACTTTCCTGGAAAAGCTGGACTCCAGGTATGCGTTATGTTGCACGCTGACCGTGGCGCATCTCGTCCCAATGTAGGTATGCGTCTGCCGTACCTAATCGGCCACTGGGGAGCCCGGAGTAGGCTGAGCTATTGCAGTGGTGGCCGCCATCCTCCGGGTCTTGTATGGTACTGTGCTGAGCTGCTCTGAAAACACAGGGGGTCGCTTGCTCGGCACAGCGGCCATTCAAAGGATGCTTAGTATTGTACCAATGAATACGAGGCGTGTTCTGATTGGACGAGGGGCAAGATCATGATGTCGGAATCAGAGAATGCCTGGTATACGTTGATAAAAAATACTAGGCGTTCTTTGAATGGCCACTGTGCTGAACGAGCGAACCCTCGATCACGGTCAGCACAGCACCGTACAGGACCCTGTAGATTGGTCAGCACAGCACCGTACAGGACCCTGTAGATTGGTCAGCACAGCACCGTACAGGACCCTGTAGTTTGGTCAGCACAGCACCGTACAGGACCCTGTAGATTGGTCAGCACAGCTCCATACAGGACCCTGTAGATTGGTCAGCACAGCACCGTACAGGACCCTGTAGATTGGGGTCAGCACAGCTCCATACAGGACCCTGTAGATTGGTCAGCACAGCTCCATACAGGACCCTGTAGATTGGTCAGCATAGCTCCATACAGGACCCTGTAGATTGGTCAGCACAGCTCCATACAGGACCCTGTTGATTGGTCAGCATAGCACCATACAGGACCCTGTAGATTGGTCAGCACAGCTCCATACAGGACCCTGTTGATTGGTCAGCACAGCTCCATACAGGACCCTGTAGATTGGTCAGCATAGCACCATACAGGACCCTGTAGATTGGTCAGCATCCACCGGCCTCTTTATAGTACGGGAAGCTTGTTTGGCCCCCCAGCGGCTTGCTTTGGACATACAGTTCTCCTTGTAGCCTCCTTAGTACATTAGCCTTGGCGGTCTGCGTGATTTTCTAGACGCGGCTTGACGCCTTCATCCAAATTCAGCAATAGTAATCACTGCAGCTTCTGTTTTACTCGACCCGGTGCCCCTATTTTTTTTTTGTCCTGTGGAGAAACGGCTCAACCTCTATGCACCTTCCGCGGGTGGGTCCGAGGGCACTGCGGCCGGTACTGACCGCCCCGCAGCCATCGATTGGCAGCTATGCAACTATGTGGTCATTTACCAGTCAACAAGGAGCATGCCTACCGTGTCGGAGCGCCCCTACTGGATCATGGGAACTGTAGTACCCGTTTCCTCCAGGTCAATATGTCCCATGTGACCTACGCTGATCTCATGGCACCCAGGAACCCGTCACAAGGAGCCCATGGCGTCGCAAGGAAGAATGGACGGTTCCTGGGTGCCAATGTGATCAGTGTAGGAATTTTCTGACATATTTTTCTGTGAGGCAATGGGTAGTACAGTTCCCATGATTCAATAGGTGCGCTCGGACGCAGTAGGAGTTCAGCTATAAGGATAACCTGTGAAAATTGGTTGAGTTGGGCTGGGTTGTGTTGAGTTGGGTTGTGTTGAGTTGGGTTGGATTGAGTTGAGTTGGGCTGGTTTGGATTGAGTTGGGCTGGGTTGGATTGAGTTGGGCTGGGTTGGATTGAGTTGGGCTGGGTTGGATTGAGTTGGGCTGGGTTGGGTTGGGTTGAGTTGAGTTGGGTTGAGTTGAGTTGAGTTGGGTTGGGTTGAGTTGGGTTGGATCGAGTTGAGTTGGGTTGTGTTGAGTTTAGTTGGGTTTCCTTCAGACAGCTTTTGCATTCCCACACATGCCTTTGAGAATGCAGCACCCGCTTGAAGCAAGTCAGAAGGAGGTGCAACGGCAGGCCATATGCACCTGCCAATGAATTGTGAGGGATCACAAACCGCTGCCCATCCGCACAAGCCCTCCTTGATATCCTTGTAACATATGAAGTGTCATTATGCACCTCCTTGGACCACAGATGCCACCCAAATGGTTGGGGGTGCTCAGTGAAGACCTGAGATAATAGATCACCAACAGAATGTATCGATAGGATGAGTAGGTATAATAAAATAGGTCACATGGATACCCCTTCCTCAGGGCTTGAAGCAGATCCATGCCTTGTTCCATGCTGTCTTTGATCGGAGGTGGCCATCTTGGTAGAGGCAGGCCTTTGCTTATTCATTTCGGACCTCCCCCCCTCCCCTTAATAGTTGGCGATGTGATGACTAATGGGGAATATTCAAGAAGCAGCAGGAGAGGTGAAGGAAGCACAGATCCTCAGAATGAATAA